AGGTTTTCGCTTTATTTTTACATTTTTCGATCTTTTTCGTCGCGCTGTGATGACGTCAAAGGCGCGATTTTGTCGATCGCGCTTTTGCCGTCCGCGCTTTTGACGGGTCACGCTGTTACTGCTGGTTTCCTCAGGGATGTGCCTCACGTGCACACTTGATGTGCACTATGCACGCATGTGCAGTAGTAAAAAAATGCTTCTGTGCATGAGCAAAAACAAAAAACAAAATGGTGGTACTTATGGTGCCACTCCTAGAACTGGTTTGGGGGCATGGCCAGCCAAGTTACTACCTACTGAACCAGTCCGAACCGGTAGGAACCCATGTTGGAACTCATATAGCTCCCTATCATCAGTATTAAACCAGGGACTTTTCTGTGGAAGTTAGTTTCTTTAAGAACACTGCTGAATTCTTTCCAGCTTTTATATCCCTGTTCTTTCAAGATGTTGAGTGCCGTGAGTCTCCAAGCAAGAAAATTAATTTTCTTGTGAGATCCAATTTTTTTAAAAATCCAGTAAAATAAAAACTCCTTGGGAAATGCAATAAAAATAACACAATCACATCTTGGCTGTGAAAGAATATAAATTTACGCTTAATAATATTCATAATTTTGCTTTACAAAAACAAATGATTTAAAACAGAGAAACCCTATTACAAATCCCTTCAAGTTTTTTTTTACATCAGAATAAATATAACATTAAGCTGTAATGGGAATTGGAGGTGGATCCCATCTTGTCTTGCCTTTATAGCTAGGATTTACGTTCTGACATCATGACCCATGTTTCATCATTTGTTTGGATTGTAGCACATACTGGTGTTTCTTTCCAAAGATTCTTCAGCCGTGTCTGTAGAATATGTTAGTGATCCTGCTGTCCCACTGTTGTCCTAGTTGGTTAACAAAATGCAGTATTACAGTCTGACTTTGCCGGTTGCCAGCAGTTCGGTCTTCACTGGCTCAAGCCTTCCATCCTTCCAAGGTTGGTAAAATGAGGACCCAGATTGTTGGGAGCAATATGCTGACTCTGTAAAACTGCTTAGAGAGGGCTCTTAAGCATTATGAAGCAATATATGTCTAAGTGCTATTGCTATTGCTACTGACCAATGAAAATATTTTGGGGCTGCTTATCATAATTATATCAACTGTCCACCTCTTTTCCTGAGATACAAATGACTCCAAGGGACCCTACAATGACTGATCAAAGATAGATTGGCATATGAGCATGTAGCCCAGAAAGTATGCATTTTGTACATCATATCTTCTTGGCACCTTAAGCAAGAATAATTGTTTAGTGTTACATGATAGATAGGAATAAAACTAGTTAAATTATTGCATTGGGCCAGCTAAGCTAAGAGCTTAGAGGGTTGTATGATGTTTAGATGTTAATCATAAAACCAACTCACTTTTTCCCACTCCCATTATGCCATGGCTTACAAGTTAGGCAAACTCATATAATAAGCACCTTAACAGAATAACAGAGTTGGAAGGGATCTTGGTGGTTTTCTAGTCCAAACCCCTGCTTGGGCAGGAAACTCTTTACCATTTCAGACAAACGGTTGTCTAATTTCTTCTTTAAAATCTGCAGCGTTGGAAAACCCACAACTTCTGAAGGCAAATCATTCCACTGATTAATTATCCTAACTGTCAGGAATTTCCTCCTTAGTTCTAGGTGGGATCTTTCCTTGATTAGTTTCCATCTATTGCTTCTTGTTCTGCCTTCAAGTGCTTTGGAGAATAGATTGACCCCCTCTTCTTTGTGGCAGCCCCTTAGATATTAGAACATTGCTATCATGTCACCCCTGGTCCTTCTTTTCATTAAACTCAATTCCCACAACTATTCTTCATATGTTTTAGCCTCCAGTCCCCTAAATCTTTGTTGCTCTTCCCTAGACTCTTTTTAGAGTCTCAACATCTTTTTTTTTATCGTGGCAACCAAAGCTCGATAGAATATTCCGAGAGTGGTCTTACTAACACCTCACATGATCTTGCATGCTTCCTTCCATCTAGATGCAGTTCCATTAAGAATTATGCCGTTCCATTAAGGAGAATAAGCACAAATGATAAACCCTTTTCACAGGTTTTATGTCTCTATTGATAAAAGAAATATTTCCAATATATTTATCACATTACAAATCATTTTTTCAATCCAAGGCGGCAAACAATTTTGAAAGAACATTGATCATCTCCTCCAGGGGTGTCAAACAAGCATCATCAAGTGACGTATAGCGACTTTCCCCCTCCCCCTGCTAAACTGCACATGCGCCAGCGCATGATGCATGTGGACCATGAGCCGGGAGTTTGATAGCTTTGATCTCCTCAGTTTTCATTAGCTTAAGGGATGTATCAGTTCTAATCACGTCAAGTACTTGAATTACAGAATGAAGCTGGTTTAATTGTCATTTTCTGTTACAAGTAACTATGAAAGATGCAATTGGTGGTGGCAAAGACCTTGTAATTCCAGGATTCTTTTGTAGAGAGAAGAATGCCGCTAAAACTTCAAACACCTGAAAGGCTTTCACTGAGAAAAAAGGTCTGGATTTGCTTCCAAAGCTCCTGGCGGTTGGATAAGGATGGAAGCTTCACAGAGGGAGATCTATATTCAAACTAAAGAGGAATTTCTTGACTATGACAACAGTTAAGCAATAGCACAGCTGAGCTGAAGTTCTAGGCGCTCCATCACTGGAAGTTTTTCGAACAAAGATTGGACAGCCATTGGTCTAGGATGGTCTGAGGATTCCTGCCTTCAGAAGAGGGTTGGCCTTCACCTTCCCTTCCAACAATTTGATTCTGTGAAGATCTCATATCAACTGATATAAATCGTTGGTATATGATGAGTGTGGCTATCTCAGAATGCATAGCCATCATTTAATCTTAAGATAGCCACACTCGCCTCCTCCCTTTTCTTCTGAGCAGGGAAGGAACGAGAGATGACAGCCCCTCTCCAAACATAAAAAAACACCTGGAAGTTTGCAATTAATAAATGAAACAGGAAGCAGGCAGGAAAAGGAAAGAAAATACTGACTGATCCTCAGCAACGTAGGAGCTCAGAAGTTGTTGGACAACGGATCATGTCCTTAATGAACGATGTAGCGTACGACGGTTGGGTCCTCCCTTGGCACAAAATCGGCAGACATCGGTTTGTCACAAATGCTGGAACTGTGGAAAAGAAAGGCAAAGGAGAAATGAAGATGGTATACAATCAGTGGTGGGTTTCAAAAATTTTTAGAACCTCTTCTGTAGGTATGGCCTGCTTTGTGGGAGTGGCTTGCTGACTATGTGACTGGGTGGGAGTGGATTGCCGGCCATGCAACTGGGTGGGAGTGGCTTGCCGGCCATGTGACTTGGTGGGNACATACATACATACATACATACATACATACATACATACATACATACATATATATATAGTCACTTTTTTCAGTGCTGCTGTAACTTTGGCCATGAATGTAAGTTGAAGACTACCTGTACTACAAAGAAAGGTATTGTCAGGTCCCATCTACGTATTTCTATTAGGACGCTGGGAGGGGGGAGGATTGGAGGGATCTCTATGAAGTTTCTGTTTCCTGCATTGCTGTGCTGTGGGAGGGGTTTTCTTTGCACTGCTTTAAATTGCTGTTTTACTTAGTTCCTAAGTAGACCTCTTGCTCTCACAAGCTTTTTAATAAAAGCTCCGTTTGGAACAACATCACTTTCAAGAGTCCTGCTTTCTTGGGAAGATTGGTGAGGTAATACTTTACAGGTATAGGCGCATACTCTGCTCTTTAAGCCAGGGTAGTTTATCCTGCAGCCCTTTAAAACTGTAAAATTAGTGCCAGGAAAATATTGGAATGTTGCTGAGGAAGGAATTAGTTTATTTTGCTAATGTCTTCAGTGAAGCAGATCATCGCTCACTGATGCACCACATATTTTGTGTGCTGAAGGCATCCAGTTCACTCCCTGAAACTTCAGGTACAAAATGAGGAGAAGGAGGGGGGCATCTGAAATTGATTAGCATATGTCAGCTTCACTTATCTGGTGCTCTCCATGTAGGTTTAGAGATCAGTTTCCAAAATTCCTATCCAAAATGGCAATCGTAATCTTGGCATATGGATGTTATAATGTAAAAATGTCTGGTATCCAGGTTTATTGTAATGAAACCACTGTAAACCTCTACTGTATCAACATGTTTTGGCAATGCCTCTAGTGTCAGGCCTGCAACTATCTTTTCTAACTTTCTATTCTATGCATTTTCGATTGTGGGAAAATGGGAGGAGGGATTATACGGAGTTAAATGCTATGTAGCCAAAACAAAATTCTTTCCAGAAAGCCAAGGTCATCCTTTGTCTCTGCACCTCTGCACTTGACTGGAATTGGATGGGTGGAACTGCCAGCAGGGCAGTGGGAGATTGGACCATGTGATGGACTTGTGGGTGTGGGGGCAAGATCTTAAACTTTGAACTGGGTGGGGAAAACCGGGAAGCTTTCAGATTTGGGTTTTCCCAGATGTGCCAACATGGCTCTCTGAATAAATTGGAACTTTGAGCAATACTTTGCCTTGGACTCTGATGTACTTTTGGAGGCTATTTGGAACCCTGACATCTCGGCTTGGAAAAGGAATTGTTTGTGCTAATGGGCTGAGTTTGAAGTTATTGTGCAGTCCACGTAAATGGTCTTTAAGTGACTTAAGTTTCTTAAGAGCATTTTTTGCAGCTTTTGTTTCTTTCCACCATGTTGAAAATGCAGAATGTTTAGCTTTATAAGTTGTTGGGAGAAATGTCCATCTGGGTTCAGTTCCAAGTGGGGAAAAGGAAACTGGAAGCACGGAGATTGCTTGGAAAGATGGTTTTTAATGGTGGACAGGACCATGTGGTTTGAGGTCTTGAAGGGAAAAGGGACATGGAGTGGAGAGAGGGATATATTTATACCCCCTCTTGGGCCATGCCTTAGAGTTTCCTGTTCCTGTACAAGAAATGTATCCAATTGGCTGTCAGACTTCCAGTGGGCAGGGTTGGGGGGAGTCTTAGCTAACTTTGTAGACTGTCTGTGTCCCAGGCTTGGGTGATGCAATCCTCCCAGGTGCCATGTGGTGAGATGGGTAGAGCGTTAATACTATCATGCTCTGAGGGCCATGTTTTAATACCATCACCCTGGAGCGGAAGAGGGGGAGTGGGCAGGGAGCTCCAGCAGTGGTAGAGGTGTACTGGTGCCAGTTGGGAGCAGCGGCCACCGTACCAGAACAGTGTTTTGGAGGGCCCACCCGCCTGCCCTCATTCCTTTGCAAATGCAAGTGCAGTGTACGGCGCCTGCATGACCTCCGTCGAGCAGCCGGAGCGTGGTGGATGGACGGCCCCATCACAGTGTACCAGTTGCGACGGGATCTGGAACCCACCACTGAACTGCAGGGAGCTGCTTGGTCTTTAAAAACATGTTTCTCCTTTTCTCATCTAAGGAAGCATAGTATTCTGCCTTTTCAATATTTCCTAAAATATTTCATTCTTCTAAGAGAGGGGTGGGTGCTAACTTTCTATAGGGTCAAGTGTCCTTCAAAATACAAGGACAGCAAAAGAAAAAGAACATTCCCAGAAGGTTGTATAAACACAGAAAAGAACTGAGTGGATAACATGAATTTATCAGAAAGTGTTTTAGTTAATTCTGAGAGCCATTATTTAAAGGTTTCCCGAAAACTACGAAGAATGTACGCCAGCGGTAAGAGATTTAGCTCATTTATACTTTCAAGCAATCAAGTATCTATGGGGATTCTCAGTCATCCAGGTCATGGTTGTCCCAAAGGTGCTTTTTTCAAGAGGCACCTGGACTTTCAAAGAAAACCAGAAACTCCAATTGCCTCTTTAAAAAAAGCACCTTTGGGACAAGCAACCAAGTAGTTAGCTTATAAGCACTAGCTAGAATGAAACATGGATTTTTTTTTCTTTCTCCTTTATCTTGGTTATAAATAATCATTCAGGAGTTTTATTTGATCTTGGGTTTATTTCATTCAGTCATGTTGTCCAACTTCAACATATTGTAATTATTTTGAATTATGATTATTGGAAGGAAACCCACTCCTAACTACTGTATTTTTCGGAGTATAAGACGCACCGGAGTATAAGATGCACCAAGATTTTGAAGAGGCAAATTAAAAAAAAAGTTTTTGCACTCTGCAGACCTCCCAAAAATGGCCCATTTTTCATGAAAACGGGTCATTTTGTGTCAAAAAAAAGGGCATGCATAGTCTTTAGGAGGCTTGTAGAGTGCTCCTGGGGGCTGGGGAGGGCTAGGGGAAGGGAAACGAGAAAAAAATGGCCTGTTTTTTTGTCAAAAAAGGGCACTCATAGCCTTTAGGAGGCTTATAGAATGCTCTTTGGGGGGGGGCAAAAAAACAACCAGTTTTTTACTCATTTCTGTCCTCCCCAGCCCCCAGGAGCACTTTGGAAGCCTCCTAAAGGCTATTCGCGGCCATTTTGGCAAAGGGGCGGGGTTTCAAGTGGCCAAAAATGCTGTATTCAGTGTCTAAGACACACCCAGATTTTCAGCCTCTTTTTTGAGGGAAAAAGGTGTGTCTCATACTCCAAAAAATACAGTATATCTTTTGTTCATGTTATTTAATAAACCCTTCATGCAGCTGAGCATCTTTGTTTGAAATTACAATAAATAAATGAAACACACATATACCATCCATATTTAAATAGTAATGTATCCTAAAAGCCTGCAAAATGATAGAGAGAAAATTCCATAGCTGGAATGGTGGAGGAGATTGTTGCGGCCTGCCAGCAAAACTGGCAGTAGACTCGGACAATGAGGAGGTTGGGGAGGAACGTGGACCATTGCTGGAGTCTTGGGAAGGCTCTGATGTATGCTCTGCGTTGGACACAGAGATGGAGCCAGGGCCGTCTGACATTTCCCAGCCACTGGAGAGGCAGCTGCTTTTAGAGGCTGATATGAGTGAGGAGGAAGAACAGCTGGGGCCTGTTCCAGATGCACATGTGTGCAGAGTAGTTAGAGGTGAGCAATGGAGGACAAGAAGTTGAATCAGGAAGCAAAGCACCCGTGGATGCTGAATGGCCCCTCCCTGGCTGGGGAATAAGTAGAAGAAAAGGGGGGTGGTTGTCATGGGAGACAACAGTTTGTATTTCTGAAGATTTTGCTCATTGTGTTTCCT